ATATACTTTTAATTTCTGGAGAAAGCTGTGTATCAAGGTAAGCGGGAATGCTTTACGAGAAAGGGGGGTTTATTATCTTTCTGTGAGAATTTAAAGAGTTCAGATCAAAGAATTTTCTCAAACCAGTTCAGCGCATCTGTCTGGTGTTTTGGATTATACGTTGGTCGGGTTGCCAAAAACTTTAGTCGCAAATCCAAAATCCTGACAAATATAGCACCTAAAATGACGAGGGGGTAGTATTGCATGAATGAATGGCTGTAGTTATCTACAACATTATCACAACTGACTGTTTTTATGCAACAGATCGTCTGGTTCTTTATACTACAACTTAGTTAACCCGTCCGAGTAAACGGAGTACAAAATTGCCAAGTTAACTCCGTTTTACTTTGGTGTATATTCCAGCCATTTAAGATTATATAACTTTCAAGTTTATTAGCAGTTTCACGAATTAAGAAAAGCTCTCCAGCAGATGGCCTACTGTCGGTTTTACTCTGCTAGTGGATAAGCTTTTCGCTGTCAGAAAAAAGTATTTGCTGAATTATTAAGCGTTATTCTTATACTTAACGCAGTAAAATTTTTTAAAAAAACCTTAAATTTCACAGAATCATTACTACGAAAATAGGTTTGCGGGTTAAAAAAGTTTCCTTGAGCAATAGGGAATAGCAATAAGCCTCCTAAATAATAAAGTCTCCTCGCTAACAGGCGATATTAAACATCCTAGATACACGACCGTCGGCAAACATATGAGGAGCAGACATGAGAACACTGAGATGAGCCTTTTTCTCATCGAAAAGAAACGCTTGCTCAACCAGTTTTCCATATATTGGTAAAATGTGTTTTTCCCGACCGGAATAAGGTATTACTCATCAGCCCAATTTGAATATAAAGTGATGCTCATCAAGTCAGCTGCACAAAATTTCGCCTATCTATTCATGGCTTGTATATTGTCACACAACACTGCTTTTTATTAAGCTTGTTTCTCTATAGTAAAACAGCAAAATCCGAGCAAAATGTGTTTATGTTGTCTGAAATCCGTGTCCACCATTATAATTCAGTCTAAACTACCAACTACTAATTGGATATACTGAAGCATGTTTTTAAAACATCATTCTTTTTTTAAATCACTTTAGCTGGGATATCGATGGAATAAATACGAGAACGCCATTGGAGAAAGAAAGTTGAATTCCGTTTCAAGAAATGACTACAGAAGATTCTCCAGTCTGGCTTCCAGTCTTTGTCACCGAATTTGTTGTCATATCGATCATCAATGCCATCACTATCGCCGCCTTCGCAAGAATCCGCCATCTACGCAAGCACAGTACGTACCTCGTAATAAACCTGACTGTGGCTGATCTACTGGTGGGTGCCGTGGCAGGACCACTACTCGTGTTCCACAAACATGAAGAAAGCGACGGTGTTACATTACCACGACTTATTCTTTTGGCTATTGGAACCAATTTTCTAATAGCTTCCCAGGTCAATCTCTCCTTAATATCCTTAGAGCGGCTACATGCAACACTTTTTCCCTTCAGGCATTGCTTGATAAGGAAATGGCTTTATTTTAAAATCATCGTTGGAAGTTGGCTTGTATCTTTCTTGATCGCCATTGTCCTACACATTTTACCGCGAGGCGCATTACCTTACGTATGGGCATCATTTAGTACTGTCACTTTACTTGTCTTAGCTGTCTGTTATATTATTATCATTGTAAATGTTCAAAGAAGTCATCGTTCAGAACATCATGGTTTAATTCACACGGAAAGGAAACTATCAGTAACATTACTGATGGTCACTGGAGTTTCCGTTCTCACCATTTTGCCCCTTGCTGTTTACAAGTCCATTCCAATCGATCCACAGAAAAAATCGTCCAATACATCAGGGGTTGATATGGATGTTGTGCTTTTTGTCATTTATTTGGCGAGTTGCATTGTGAATCCTCTTGTGTATGCCATACGAATGCAAGGGTTTAGAAAAGCCATAAGAAACCTTGCTTGTAAAAGTACGGAGCCCACCAGAGTGAATCATTTACAACCACATACTATGCCGTAAACTTTAAACAACAGACATGAAGTGTAGAAACATTTCCACGTTACTCTGCTATTGACGTGACAAACGATTCCAAATGATTCCAAATGAAAACGCAGCAGTAAAATAAGAGGTAGGAGAATATGGAAATAAAATAAAATAAAATAAAATTCGGAATATCCGGTGTAAAAACTACTTTAAGATACGACGTAATATTCCATCAAAGAATTACACAGTGGGAATAAGAACTGATAAATACTAAAAAGACAACTGTCGTGAGTAAATTTGTTTCAGTATCAAGTTAGACTTTCCCACCGTTGTGACCAAGATCGATGCTGAATTTAAAAGCTGGTACTAGTCTCAATGCATGAGTGGGTTGCAGACTCGTGCACGATCAATATCGTTTCCCCAAATGATCTAACATTCTAGGGAGCGCCTCGTGAAATCATTCTCTTTCCTTTTTCTTTTAATTTGTTTTCACTATTTTAGATATATGTCATTCATATACATTCTGTTCCCAATAAAGCTCATGAAACTTTAAACTAACTAGTCTAACTTAGTAATGATAAATGGAAGAAATTAAAGGAAGAGAGTTTTCAGAAACTTCTGGCCAGATTCTAGTTACGTCTGATCTGGATTTCGACTGGCTTTTGTAGTCCAGTTTAATATATAAATGAAGAGGTTGGCAGTCACAAGATGGATAATAGCAGCATCCGGGCACCTCTGTCACCATGATATTTGAGCCTGGCTAAGCAAATTATGAAGTTCTAAACCTCGAATAATGCATGTCTAGCTTTCTCTTTGGTTCAACTGAATCTCGGTTAACGGCCATTATACCTGGGTTTGACCATTAGGTGCAGCAAGTGTTGCTTAGTTCAAAAGTTTTTGCATGTTAGGCAAAGCTCTGTCGGAATAAAAAAATTGTTGAAAGCAGCTTATTTGGTAAACTTTCTATCGTGGAAATAGACGACCGGTTAGCTCAGTGGTAGAGCACCGGACTAGCGTGCGGGAGGTCGCAGGNGTTACTCTGCTATTGACGTGATAAACATTTTATAAATGATTCCAGGTGAAAACGCAGCAGTAAAACAAGAGGTAGGAAAATGTCGAAATAAAATAAAATAAAATAAAATACGGAATATCCGGTGTAAAAACTACTTTAAGATACGACGTAATATTCCATCAAAGAATTACACAGTGGAAATAAGAACTGATTAAGACTAAAAAGACAACTGCCTTGAGTAAATTTGTTTCAGTATCAAGTTAGACTTTCCCAACGTTGTGACCAAGATCGATGCTGAATTTAAAAGCTGGTACTGGTCTCAATGCATGAGTGGGTTGCAGACTCGTGCAAGTTCAATATCGTTTCCCCAAATGATCTAACATTCTAGGGAGTGCCTCGCGAAATCATTCTCTTTCCTGTTTCTTTTAATTTGTTTTCACTATTTTAGATATATGTCATTCATATACATTCTGTTCCCAATAAAGCTCATGAAACTTTAAACTAACTAGTCTAACTTAGTAATGACAAATGGAGGAAATTAAAGGAAGAGAGTTTTCAGAAACTTCTGGCCAGATTCTAGTCACGTCTGACCTGCATTTCGACTGGCTTTTCTAGTTCAGTTTAATATATAAATGAAGAGGGTTGGCATTCACAAGAAGGATAATAGCAGCATCCGACCACCTCTGTCACCATGATATTTGAGCCTGGCTAAGCAAAGTTATTGAATTTTAAACCTCGAATAATGCATTTCTAGCTTCCTCATTGGTTCACTGAATCTCGGTTACCAGCCACTATACCTGTGTTTGACCATTAGGTGCAGCAAGTGTCGCTTAGTTTAAAAATTTTTGCATGTTAGGGAAAGCTCTGTCGGAAAAAAAAAATTGTTGAAAGCAGCTTATTTGGTAAACTTTCTATCGTGGAAATAGACGAAATGATAGGCTATACAAAAAGCCACAAAATGTCAAAATTATCCCAACTACCTAGAGTTTGATACGGAACATTTAATTGAAAGGGCTTGTAAATGTGCAACAAAACCAAACAAAGGAATTAGAAAAGCAGCAAAAATTCACGGGAAGATTGAAAAACCGATAGATCATCGTTTCTACACCTCAGTTACTGAAAAAAGGTTTTATGTATAAAGTTTAACACTCCAGTAAAACCTGTTACCTTACAATTGGGTGTTGTCCTTTCGTATAATTCAGAGAACTCGATCGATTCTGGGTGATTGAG